TAGAATCATCTAATAAAAAAAAGTTCTGGTAAAGGCTAGTTGCATAACTTTACATATTATGGTCTCCTTGAAGGAGAGACTGTGCTTTTCGGTCTGCAAAATAAAATTCATGCTTGCAGTGTTGATAATGCATTAGTTATACTACAGGAATACCTTTACAACAGCACTCTGAAAGCACAACCAAATTACTGAGGCTCTTGAACACAGGGGGTGGAAAAAAACAAATTTTAAAAAACTCCAACCACAAAACACTTAGAAGCTAGGGAAAAAATACAAAGTTAAAGTTGCTTGTATGACCTTAATTCATCTCCCTTCTATCCTCAACAGAAAATGCTAGGAACCTTATCTGTAGCCTCCACTACCAGTATCATAGCAATAGCAGTTTGCAATGTCAGCATGACGAGCAAAGATACCACACTTTGAAGAGAACACAGGAAGCTGATTATCAAGATCATAAATTGTTAATGAAATACAAGAAGTTTCCTTTTTTGAAAGAAAAAAAAAAAGCTATTTGACTGATTTGTAATTGCCTCCTTGGCCACAACAATCTGTAGGTACAGCTGTGAAGGTGCCAAAAGTTACTTAATTGAAAATCTGGCATGTGTTCCTTCCTGACCTATTCAATTTTAAAAATGTGAACTTAATTGCCAAAATTAAGGGGGGAACGTTATATTTGAGTTCGGAAAAAAAGACAGAATTCTTCTTTATCCATCATATATAGGAAGAAACAGTGCCCTAACACCAATATATTGATAACTGGAACTAAACACTAAAAATACCAGGTTTTGAATATCATAATTGGCTACCCATTTGTCTTGATGCTTAAAAGTCTCCTTCACAAATAATCATTTTGCCATTTAGCCTACCGAGCATTGTAGTTCTACAGAGCTGAGCTATGGTCCATGAAAGATATTAAATTAAATACAAGGGAAAGAAATGCAGCTGATCAGGTAACAACAGTAAGTAGAAGGTTCATACTGTGCCCATTTCTCCTTTAGGTCAGTGGCAGATTTCCCTTGTGCTGGGCCCAGTTCCAGAATCAGGAGACAGAGAAGCTTCTTCCCTTTTGTGTCTCAGAAAAAGGATTCAAAAATTTCCACCCTGGAACTCGCATTACTGTGGGCTTTTCAAAACTGAAATTCTTTTACTATGGTAACAGGACCCAGTAGGTGCTCTCCATTAGCCTGATTAAGTCAGTCAAAATCTGTGGAAAGATTTTAAATAAATTCACTGGGCTTTGGGGTCAGCAAATGTAAATAAAGTAAAGATGCAGCTCCTAGAAAGTAATCCTGCCAAGAGTGGCTCTTCCTTTACTCTCACTGGGCTCATGAAGAGTTGAGGACATCAGGTCCTCGATCGCGGACTGAGGTCCGAGACCTTTTAAAAGAATATCAGGTATGCTTGAAAGCTTCAGTGGGCTTAGTAGAAGCTGGAGTGAAATCTTTTCCACATGCTATCCAAAACCAATTTGACCTCCTATGTGCTAGGACTTGTTTCTGAAGTATCTAGCAGCCCTAGTCAAGATCTTCAGAACAGAGTTGTGATTGACATACCATTCTTTCTGATAGGAAACTGAAATTTTCTAGTCTGAATTTAAAACCATTGTCCTCATGAATATAAAAATAAGAGGGAGGTAAAAATAAAAACACCTGTAGATATTTGAGTTATTTAATAACCTATTACAAAGATTTCACTTTCTTACCTTTCCCTTTCCCAAAACCCACTTCCATCACCGAGACTAGGAACAGTACCATCAAAATCCACAGGAGCGCTCTGAGGGAAAGGTATGAATGAGCGCAGCAGAACCAAGCATTTTTCTACGGCAGGGCCTCCATGGTCGATTGCAGTAGGTTTGAGCTCACTCTAACCAAAGCAAGCTGCCCGGCTGCATGCCGCTTATAATCTACACGGAGGGTTTATTAGCTTGGGCTTAGCCTGGCAGTGATGCAATTACAGGGGGCAGAATCACCGCCTGCAGTCTGCTGGGAAGACATATGCTAAATATCCTAAGTTTCGGGAAGCGTCCTAGATCTTAATAGCTCTGCAGTTAGTGCGGTTGAGGAAATGGGTTCTTAACTTGCCTGGCTCCAGCAGAATTGCTTTTCAGGTTAACTGAGCAGGCGAAGGTTTTTACAGGAAACCTTCCCTCCTTCAGAATTGGATTTAAAAATGATCCTGAAACAGTTAAACAAGGCAGGCACAAACAAAGCAGGTTCGGCATTTATGATCGTGATGTTATGACTCTTCCTCACTTTTGCCTGTAGCCAGTGAGCCAGGGAAACAGGACCTTCCTTCAGACCACTGGACAGATAGCAGAAGTGGAGCCAGCTTTAGTTTGTGGGCAAACAGGTGATGCTAGGACAGCCATACAGCAGGCCACCCAGATAACAGACCAGATTCCCCCAGTCTGGTGCAGCACCGAGCCTGCCAGGCCCCCGCCTGGCTCCTTGGGGCCACAGTGCAAGCTCTGCAGAGCCCCCCGGCTCAGAGGGCTGCGCAGCGCCAGCACGGCATGGTCCAAACGCACGGAGCCTGCTCATATCCACCGTCCGTCCCCATCCCCTTCCTGCAACACACAACAGGGGAAAACACAAGGACAAAGACATGCTGGTCTATCCAGGCTCATTATTTACCCCTCGAAGGCCTCTCTAAGCTGTGCAGTCCGAGCTCCAATCTAAGGTGCCTGTCCGCATTCCCACCGGGACAGCAAGCGCTGAGCACAGCTGTGGGATGAGGAGGTAATAGCCTCCCTTGGCTGTAGCTTGGCGGCACAGACAGAACTATGAAGCCTGGATAGATCTGAGCTGGCTCCTCATAGAAATCCCACAAATCGGTCTGTTTTGTGTTCCTTCTTTTCGGGAGGAACGTGACGGGGAGTCTGCCGAGTCTCAGAATGACCAGCATGAGTCTGTCAAGATTATTCATCACGGCTCTGCACCTCGGCAAGAAACCCTGCTGCCTCTGCCAGCACAGATCTGCAACCCAGACAACTGGTGGCTGAGCACCAGAGACCTGCGAGTCAGGAGGGCACCATTTGATGCGATATTCTCCTTTAGACTCCATCTAAAGCTCTCTATACCTTATTTTGTAACTATAAAACGGCAACACCACTTCCTTTTCCCCAGCCATTTTGTAACGTAGTTATTTACCAGCAGCTGAGAGCAGGAACAAAGCCTTACCCTCCCACCTACAGCGAGGGGTGCAGCACAGGCAGCTTTGTGCAAGCCAGCAGCATTAGTCCTCCCACTCCCGCCCAACTGGCCGCAAGGAGCTGGGCTTATCCCCGGGCACCTCAGCTGAAGGCAGCTCCACAGGTATACTTTCATGCAGGAGGATGGGGTCTGACCTTTCACCCAGACCACTGGGATCATTGTCAGGTATTTGGAGATGTGCTTTATAAGTATTACGCCCTTGAGTGTCTCACATGGCAGGGTAAGCAAGGATGTTTGTAACAAGTGGTGTTCCCCAGGGGCCAGTACTGACCTGCTGGAAAGGGACCTCAGAGTCCTGGGGGACAACAGGATGCCCATGAGCCAGCAATGTGCCCTGGTGGCCAAGAAGGCCAATGGCATCCTGGGGTGCATCAAAAAGAGTGTGGCCAGCAGGGCGAGGGAGGTCATCCTCCCCCTCTGCTCTGCCCTGGGGAGGCCACAGCTGGAGCACTGTGTCCAGTTCTGGAGTTCCCAGGTCAAGAAGGACAGGGAACTGCTGGAGAACTGCTACTTTGTACCCAGCAAAGGGGCACAAAGATGAAGAGGGGACTGGAGCATCTTTCTTATGAAGAGAGGCTGAGGGACTTGGGGCTTTTTAGTCTGGAGAAATGAAGACTGAGGGGGGAATCTTATCAATGCTTATAAAGCCTTAAAGGGAGGTGCCGGGGGATGGGAACAGTCTGTCTTCAGTGGTGCCCAGTGACAGAAGAGGGAACAGGCACAAACAGTACCATGGGCAGTTCCACCTCAACCTGAGGAGGGCCTTCTCTCCCGTGAGGGCGGCAGAGCAGTGGCAGAGGCTGCCCAGAGAGGTGGGGGAGTCTCCCCCTCTGGAGCCATCCCAACCCCGCCTGGACGCCGTCCTGTGCCACTGCTGGAGGTGCCCCTGCTCTGGTGGGGGGTGGGATGGGGGACGTCCAGAGGGCCCTGCCCACCCCACCAGTCTGGGATTCGGTGAATGTGGGCTGAGGAATAAAACACTAGACAATCCTGTTCTTCTCACTTTACCTGCCCCTGTTATGCTGAAAATAATCTACTGTGACATTTTTCACAGGAATCTAATGGAAAATTCTTTTTTTTCTTTCAGCTACGATGAATGCGTGGGGCCAGGAGCAACACAAATATACATTCCCACAGATGATCCCCCCCCATATTCTCTTACGGACCCTTGTCAAAGAAATGAAATATCTATAAACATTAGCGTAGAAGAGGAAGCAGCATCTGGGACTACAGGACAGGCTGCAAATTACGCAGTCAGGCTGCAGGACTTGCAGCAGCCCATTTCATCCATCTCTTTGTCGTCTCTTGCTCTGGAGGCTGCTCCCCTGTACGAGACGGTGGTGTGTGAACAGAATATCCCCATCCCACTTGTTCCAATGGAAGTACTGAAGAATTCTTCCACTGACTATCAGACCCTTCTGAACCGAATCATGTGAATAGAAGTGGCTCTTTCCTTCAATTCTTTTGAAGAACTCAGACCAACAAAAACATTTAAATGGATGAATAAAACCTCTGAAAGTTTTACCTATTTTATATCTTTAAACAGGGGTGCAACGGGATTTTATTTTTACAGTGAATTTTGAAAGTTTACCTAAACTTCCCTCTTTGTGCTTCAAAGTGTTCCATGACGTCACACAGCATAGAAGAGCAGCAGTGACAAGCAGCGCATCTGGCCTTTTTGAAGCATTTCAAAATACATCGCAAACAGCCACTCTTAATGTAGATACGTGTTATCCAGTCAAGCCTACTTGTTGATTTTATGATACTTTGCATGTTTTAGAGCAGAAGGAAAAAGAAGAGCGTTTTGTTGTCTTTGTAGGTGTCACTAGTGCATTTCATTGTGTCGTGGCAACAAAGCATTTTTAAATAATTCTTTGTCTAAATATGTGTTTCAGAAGACAAAGACAGAAGGCTGCCTGCAAAACATGACTATCAGTACCATATAGGGGAAAAAAAAAAAAAAAAACCACCACAAACGAGGATAATATATACACAAATAATATTTTGATAGTCACCTTGTTCCTTTGGAAATCCTGGCCAGTACCAGGCTTTCCAGACCACCGCAAAGCCTTCTGTAAGTCTTCCTCAAAAGAAAGCAGTGGCAAATGATGGAGAGGTGGCAGTGGATCTCCAAACACCAATTGGCTTTACCTACGGAAGCTGTACCACAGCTGTGTGCAGGCCAGGGAGCAGCAGGCCCTTCACGGGGACTTGGTAGAGCCAAGGGAAGGGCAGTGTCTGGAATCCCAGAAGATGCTTCATGCCGATTCCCATGCATGACTGCGTTTTCAGGCACTAACTGGTCTCCTGCTTCAGTAAGGAGCCAGTAGCGTTACAAAGGACCTTGACCTCTAATAGCTGCATTAGTGTGATGTAAATAATAGATGCTGGACTCGGCATGCACAGTAACAGAGAACCTCACTTTGTGCAGAAACGAACCTCTTCTATTAGGCACGATCTTTTTCACCGAAGTTTTGCTGCCCACAAATCTAGCCTTTGTTCATCGACCTGGGCTTCTCACACATTCCTAAGGTAAAAGCATACAAGTTGGACATGCACACTAGCAGGAACAGCACAGGAACTCCAGATGTGAGAGTTTAATCTGACATGATACACAAGCACCCTATCTCCATATAAGGACTAAACTACATCTTCAACCACTACTAGTTAGCAGAGTTATCAGAGGCTCATCACCACTAAATCTCTTAGAGGTATTTTCACTGAGGAAAAAAAAAAAAAATTTTACACTGATAAAATGGACTTCAGTTTACTGCCCCCACTGAAAGATATGTAAAAATGAGTATAGTAAATATATAATTGTGTTTAAAAGGAAGCATCATCCAAATTATTAAAATTGCACTTAGATTTTCTGTAAATACTAAATAATTTTCAACTGTAATCATCACTCAACACTCCAAAGATTGACACAATTATAATTAATACTTAGATGGGAAGTAATTATATGGTTCTTACTGCTGTATAAATTATACCATTACTGAGTCATATGCACATGATGAGATAAGGTAAGTATGCATTTTTTACTAAGTAGATGAGAGTAAATATGTATTTTGCTAAAATAACAGAACTCTTCTGCAGTTCAGCAAGATTTCCAATATTCTCAGTACACTATACCCAAAACAACAAAAATTAATTGCAAAACTGCTGGCAGGCATTGCCAGAACATAGGCTATATTTCACATTTGTATTTTTAAGAGACAGAACCGTTCCTCTTTAAAGTATTAGTGTAAACAGTTTTGTGGTACGCAAACTATCCTGCAATAAGAGAAGCAAAACTCTACACCATCTCGTAGGGACCAGAAACTAAAACCAATATAGAAACGTACCAGTCGGTTTTATTGGCAGGAAAATAAAAAGTGAAGGAGAGCACAGAGGTTTATTTATGCAGAATAGGACATGCTTTCATAGCTGTGTCTCCCTGCAGCTCTTGGAGACCTGCCTAGAGCAGGGTAAGGCACTGGGAGCAGACCATGCTTACTTCAGGCTGCTGCTGCGGAGGTGGAGGGGGAAATGTAATAAATGTGATTTATTTTTTTTTTCCTGAAAGTAAGTCACTCTTACCTGTAACATGGCAAACCTGAAGGTTCTTCTGAAGGCAAGCACAAAAGGTTTTCACACCTGGCAGACAAGCCTCTACTCTATTAACAGATGCTTACAGCTCCTGTGCATTTGGGGAAATCCTTTCAACCTGCTCAGCTTTTGACCTGACAGGGATTTCACAGCCTTATACTAACTTTCTATCTGTGGTTTACTAAAACATACTAACTTTAAGTAGGCTTCTGATGAAAATGGGAGATTTTTATTTTACCTCATGATAGAAATGCTTTACTAAAATCACAGAAAACTCATTAAAGTCTTTCTTCATTTGATAACAGCTACACATCCTGAGCATTGTGACCTGGATTGTATGTAGCAGCATTACTTACAAATAGCTGTCTACTCCCTCTTGTGGTATACCACTTTATAAAGTCAAGTCATCTAGTTATCACGCTACACAGAGTTCACAATGAGGGACTCGACCATCAAAATCATCCCAGCTTCTCTGTCTCACAGATATAGGAAACAACCAAAATATACACTTCCATACTGTAGCATTTTTCTAAGTTACCACTAAGTGTAGGTTATGTCAGTTGTTACAAACTTTAGAAAACAAACTGTGAATTAAAAGTAGAGTATGCTACCTTCAGTGATACCTTACCACAATCACTTGCAAGAGTGGCTTAGAATTTTCTACTCTTGTTACCCTTTTTAAGTAGGTGATATCCAACAATGCTGTGGGAAAAAAGCTTATAAATCCAACCCATATACCTCTGAAAACAGACAATACTAAAAAGAGAAGTTTATAGCTCTGAAGCTGCTCTAACAGCTTCCGCTGCTACTACTGGAACAGTGTTGAAATTTCTTGTAATGATGCAATAAGAACATATTTTCATTTACTGAAGAATATTTAAGGTCCCAGATAAATCTCAGCAAAGTTGTCAGTGTCTCCTGATGCTCCTCTTAGGAAATTCATATCCTCCTAACAGATTTTATCCTAAACTCTCACATAATTTTAATGCCAGTCCTAAAACAGTCTTAACACAGGCCTTCATTTATTACCTGATTAACATCAGAAAGAAAATTGTTTGGACATGCTGTTTCTTGCTATGTGATAACAATACTGTGTTTCTGTAGTCATCTCTTTTGCTTCAATTTTTAGTATACTGATCTTTACACAAAACTTTTAGTAAAGAATATACACGTATTGGATATAGTTTCTGTGCTTTTTATTGCATCGGTGTCACTTTGGGACTACCCACAGCCTTTAGCCTCCTGTTAATCAGACAACTCAGCAATTGTTGACTAAGCAACATCGTGCTTCAGCCACTTACATTTGGATTTTACGTTTGTCAGAGATCACAGGAATAGGCAGCCATCAAAGCAGTCAGGTCTCTCCTGCTCAGGGGTGCGAGTCAGTGTGTGCCCAGCCAGGATCAGCCCAGCTCAGCAAGAGCAGGAAGGGAAGAGACTGCAGTACTGCTGCAGTGAAAAATGAAATACTCTCAGGCATTTCAAGAAGTATCAGAAACCCTCACAAACACATTCAGGTGCCTCTGAAAATTACTAAGGTCAGGAGACTGGAAAATGGCAACATACCACCAAGGAAAAAGAGGAAAAGCCAGGAAATAAGAGGCCACTCTTCCCAGAAATAGTCAAACAGATAATTTCTCAGCACAGCAAGGTCAGTAACAGTCTATTTCCTGAATGGAAACCACATCAAACCAATTAATTGGTCACGGTTCAGTCCAACAAATCATTCCCTTCCTTAAACTACATAAATACTCTATACACAAAATTATAACCATAGACTTATGTAAATTAAAGTAATAATCATCACACAAGAGAGTGTTTATCAATTGTTCTCTGTTAGTTTGAAAGGATGCGCCAGGTGGGATCATCTACGTCCTAATGAAAATACTGAGTGTTGCTGGATTTCAGAGCTTTGAGAGAGAATGGACCTATTAAACCAGCAAATTGCATTAAACTAGGAGAGGCGGGAATATGTAGGAGAACAGGCCTGGAATTTGGACAGACAGAGAAACAGTCTGGAAAGAACAAGATGCAATTCAGTGAACACAAATACAGTTTGGCACTTGAGAAATGTAGGCTCAAATTCACAAACACACAACACAGAGTGACCTGTTAGACTGCAGGACAACCTCTGAGAATTAGACTGGGCTAACTATGAGCCAATAATGTCATACCACCAGGAAAAAAAAAAAAAAAAACAAAGAAAAATTAACAAAGGCCTGTAAATACAAACAGTGCTATTACCCTTAAAATATTCAAAATAGCTCTCCACTCACCACTGCTCTGTTGGGAAACCGAGTCCAGGCGGAGGCTCTGCAGGTCAAGGAGGCTGACAAACCTGGCTGTCTAGAGAGAAGGAACAAGAAAGTTAAAAGGCCTGGCTATTCTTTTTCTTAGTTCTGCATGACAGAGAATAGAAAGCTGCTCTCCATTGCCATATAGAAATGAGATATCAGAACTGCAGGGAAATGGAGAATTAGTATTTTATACACTTTAGAGAAAGAAAGTTCCACATGTTACCAGGAATGGAAAGGCCAAGTCTCAGTCCTCCTTCTAGTGGAACTTCCCATGTCCCCTCTTTATCACTGTCTGACAGCGTCTGACACTGTTTCACAGCCTGGGAATTGGCAGTTGTACTTTTCTCACTAGACAAACCCTAGATGTTTTGCCAATACCCTCTGGGAAAAGAGGATTCTCTTAGCCCAGACCACACTAGTTACCTACTGAGAACTACATGATTTCTAACACCATACTGTTGTCACAGCAAAAAGCTTTCGGTCAAAATACTCATCACCACAATTACATTGAAGCACCTCCAGCTCTAACTCCACTGATGTGCTACATGTGAAGTGGGAACTGTAGACAGATAAGAAACTAAATGCATATTTTCTGAATCCCCAGCAGCATCTCATGCATTAAAACTTCCTCTCAACTAGCAAAGTTCATATTCATTTCCCTTTTCCTCAGCTCACAGTAATGTAGGCTTCAATACTGGCTACTGAACTCATAAGCATACAATACATTCACAGCTCGTATTTCAGACAGGTCCATATAGGATATATATTCTCACTTCTGTTAAAGCAAGAAAAAGTTACAAGCAAAATAGCTTCCATACCCAGCAAAGGCACAAACAAATTTAAAGCTTTAAGGGACCTAGAAGCACCCATGGTGGTCCATTCATGTTTGGGGTCCAATGCCTCAATTCTCTTATCTGTTCTCCTGCATCTCCTACCAATGTTGTTTCAATAACCGTCCTCCACCTAAATCAGCCCAACTGCAATGAAAAACAGAATCAGGTACACAGCCCACTGCAATTCACCGGATATTGGCATTGTGTCTTTAGAACTCCATGGAAATAGCAACAGTTTGCATGCACAGCTGGAAGCGGCCATTCCTTTCTATAGAATTCCTCTTCTCTCTTAGGACTAATGACCAGGCTTTTGCCTTCTTGTAGTCTTAAAAAAAAACCAAACAAACAAACACTGTAGTCTTAAAAAAAAAAAAAAAAAACACCAAGGACTTTTTGATAGATTCTGTCTTCTGTTACACTCCAGATGGACCTAATACATTCACAATGGAGACACATTTTTTATTTAAATTGAAATGGCAATGAAGCAGTGAAAGAACCCTGTAAAAATTAAGATTATTTTTTCACCGCTTTGCTCCTAGCAAGATTTCATATTTCTGCAAGAGACAGAAATCAGTAATAAACAAAATTAATACACTCAGAAAAGAGCTAAACTTCTTTGCAAAACATTTCAGAATCCATTGAAGAAGGAGGAGCAAGATGGGAGACCTCACAGCTTAAGGAACTGTGACTGGACTTTCGGGCACCTGTGTCATGTGTGAGTACTCTGCCCTGTTGGCAGTGATGGGACTGGTACCACACACACACTGGGGAAGTGATGAAGCTTCCCTTTTGGAGAGCAGGCTTTTAAAGTATTGGGACCTTCAAAACACACAACATAAATCCCATCCTTAGAGGCTGTGCTAGGAAACTAATAAAAACGCAGTGATAGCTAGATTCATGAGACAACTCAGTGTTAACTATATTATGCCTTACTGAAACGTGAAACACTCAAGAGAACCAGCAACAAAGCAAGATTCCCTGTGTCGTTCTACTAAAATGCACCAGGCTTTAACAAAATGCAGCTATTCTATATGTTAACAAGAACAGCAAAGGTTAAAGAATCCAATCGCCCCCCCCGTGGGAGTGGGTCTGCAGAAACATGAAATCCAGTCCTCCCATTTGGGTCAATAAAGTCTTGCATATGGCGGGGAGAGAGCAGAGCTGCCTGCAGGCACCCTACTAAGGGCACAGCCAAGCTTGTCTCTGTGTGCACACACATATGGTCAGGGAGGAAACTCAGACATTGCAGCAGATGGCCAGATGGCCTCATTATAACATGTGGTGGTAGTATGGGGACTCGTCCCCCCTTCTCTCTTGGCTAGATCAGCAATTTTTATATAGCAATTATCCATACACAAATTCTACAAAAGTATTTCCTAATGAGATTCCACTTGGAATGACGATCAAAAGCATATGTTTTTGGAAAGCCCTCTCGCCTGGAAAGTCAGAGAGAAAACCAGTTTCTTTGCAACACCACACAGCCACTTTCCGAAAGAAAGAAACAGGACTGCGGTGAAGAGTAAGCCTGAGATTTCCCTTAATCAGAAGCAGCCGTACATTCCCAGCGGTTAGCAGGGAGACCGACGCTCATTTTTAAATCTATCATGTAATGAAGACGATCTATAATAAGATGAGCCATTAAAAAACCATCAAGTCAAATTCACACTTGCAGCAAGTCAAGTCAGTGGAGACACTGCTGAAGACACCAGCCCAGCTAGTCTACAACAAAAATTAAAGCCATGGGAGGCCAATGCCAGCACTAATTTCTGAAATCACACAGGTGCACAGCATTACAGCAGCCACGGGAAGGCACTCTAAAATTCAGATTCCAAAAACCCAGCTTCGCAAAATCACGTGGATCAAGGACAGGCTTGTCTCACAGCTGCTGGACCCGGCCTCCATTTCAAACCCATCCCAGGTGAAGCTTTTCAGCCCCCACAGCGGAAAACACAAGTCTCTTTCAGCTGATCCTACCCAAACCAAGCCCAGGAGCTCAGAGGCAGCGTACAATAAAAAGAATAACACAGCGCATTCCTCATGCCTTCTCTGCTACAGAGGGTCTCGCTCCACCCCCCTCCACAACTACTATGAGGGCAGCTCCCACCCTCACACCAGCCCCTGCGCACAAGGCCTCGCCTGCCCAGGCCCAGGCCCGGGCCCACAGCACTCA